ACTGGAGGGTTAGTTTTCACATATTACTATATAGCCATGCATATCACGCGGATGTCAATAATGACGGCAGATTTTCCATGGTGTTTCCAGACAATTCCTGTCAATTGCAGTGCATGCATGGTTGTTATTGTCACAGTTGATGTATACTATGTATACTATAGGGTACTGCCATGTTAAGGTATGAGTATATATCATGTATAGATGAATATTTACCTCGTACGTCTGTAACATTGCTTGCTTCTCTTTAATGCGGTCGTCATAAGCTAGCAACAGTGGTGCTATATACCTCTTGTTTACCTTAAACAATAAACTGCTGTCATGAAGTACAGTAAATACTTTCGCGAGACGATGCGTCATTCATGCAGTTTGATAACGAGAGATTTGTGACAGACCAACAAGTGATGACAAATAATTAACAAGTATTCACCTCAGTGTCGATGAATAGTGCAAGGGTATTCACCGAAACGCGAAGCGTTGAGGTGAGTAACCTTGCACTATTCACCGATACCGAGGTGAATAATTGTTTTAGCATATACCACAACAAAACAAAAATGACAAAAAAAATATATATATATATTTTTAAAACAACTTGCATTTCAGCTCCCGTAGTGGTTGTAAACAAGACAGTATTTACACCATTTCGTCAATTTTAACATTTAGCTTTCTTCGTGTTTGGCGAAACCGCACCTTTGTTTCGTACAAACATTCGCTCGTCTGTAACCAGAACGAAACGGGAAGCCATTTTGTATTTGTCCAGAGGTCAATATAGTGCAAGAATATTCGGAGCTGAGCAGCCAATCAAAATGGGAGAAAAATACTAACCACCTCCCGAGTATATGCTAATCATCATTATTCTAATAATAATACGGTACTTACAAGCCACGCTGGTTGACTTTCTTCAGTTTTAAACATTTGATCAACTTCCTAGAATATTTAAAAAAATATTTACCGTGACAAACTATAGAATAAATAATCATGTGACAGCGTAGAAAAATTGTTAAAAAACCCCAAAGAAATTGACACTCCTAGCTGTTAAGCCACCATTTTGAATACTTTCGCTCAAACTGATCCCCAAGTGCAACTCCTGTTACTGGAGTACAATTAATGAAATAATAGTACTGCTCTCACCAATCAGAATTCAGTAATATTGTCATGCAAATAATTGAAGGGAAAAAACACGTACACATAGTATATTGTACTCATGCAAGTTGTTAGTTGGCATATTGATCAAGTTTTAATTTAATGCAATTTAATTTTATGTTAGGGAATGTGATCAATTTAATTTACAGGAAAGCCAAGCGGGGGCAAGTGAGTTTTTTCCGCGTCCTTCGTTTGTAAAGATGTGTAAAAAGTAAGTTTGTAGAAAGTGCAATTTAAGAGCTGGGCGAATTTCAGTAATTTTACTCGGCGAAACTATTATCATTAAAAGGGCCGAGTAAGGCCACTAGTTAGTTACAGTTCAAACGTCGGTGTGCTTATCATATCAAATGGACTAACCTCGTTTTTTGGGCAAATTTGCATTAGATTGGGCACAACGCCCTTCTGTGATTGCCTGAGAAGCACTTTCAGCGGTCTATTATAGTTTCTCGTAATGACTGGCGGTCCATGACGTAAAAACAAACGCATGAATTTTAAAACAAAACAGCAAATTTAATTGAAAATTTGAAAATTATAATTTATAAGATATCTGCGAAGGTTTTTACATTGTTATTTTTGTTTTCGACCAAATGTATACCACGCTACTAATATGCATTTCAAATCATGCATTTCTTGTTTGTGTCAAGTATGAATGCCTATAAATGTCATATGATAAACTTTTTATTAACCTCACTTGCATGCTCGGTATGTACAGATACAGTAAATATCGGACCTCGGTCTTTTTGTATAAACCTCGCGCTACGGGCTCGATCTGTACAAAAAAAACCTCGGTCCGATATTTCTTTGTACAGACCTCGCGATCGGTTAATAAGAAGTTACTAGGCTAATTATATACCTGAGGCGATAAGGATCGATATTTGGCTTGATAGCGACCAAGTTCCACATTCAGCCTGTGAACTAGTAAATGAACAGACAACTAATATTAAAGTATATATGCTTTAAAGATAAAATCAATGATACAATATAATTTATATAATTATTCATATATAAATTATAGAAGATCTGTACCATGTGAGGGTGCCATCATGAAATCACTACTTACTTCGTTATATTAAATGGAGCGGGCGATTCCGATCATATTACTCGGGTAATTCGATCATATCAGCCGAGTCATATATGCGTTAACAAGCTATATTTAGGGTTCTCATGTATGTGTGTATTGACAAGATAGCCAGATTAAGTAAATAGTCAACAAGCGTTGTTATTAAATTGTACAAGATTGTATCAAAAACAGTTTTCACAAACATGTATCACTGAGTTTGTGATAGAGATATAAACATTCCCACACATACTGGTATTTGACGCCCAAGGTCATACTAATAAGATACTTAGGCACATGTGAAAGATTGCACGTGTACAAAAAGATTGTATGTTGGTGCGCGGTATTGTTATACCTCACCAAATCTTACTCTGGCGTTTTCTGTTTGTAATTCAGCATTAATCGTAAAACTAAGTTCATATGCTAATAGTTCGAAAGTTTTCCTCTAAGATAATGTTAAATTAGTTGAGTTTTGAACATTTGTAAGTACTATATGAGCGAGCATATAACTGACTTGAAAGTGCGACAACGCCTTAAATAAACAGATATAGAGAGCTGGGACGAGGGTTCAACAGTACACCCTTGAACACTGATTGGTTCGTTCAACATCATCCCACCTTTTCAGTCACATGTACAAAGTTTCCCTCGACCGTAAGTATATTAAAAGGAGCTATACCCAGCCCAATTCTAATTAGAGAACGTATAGATCGACTAACACGAGTCAAAGACTACAGAAACTCAAACAATACAAGATTTGACCAACTGACACACAAGAAACATACGAAGAAGCAGAAATCAGAGAACATTATTAGAACATTATCAAACTTTAGTAGCTATATATATTATCTTATGTTGTGACGATTCCGTTCCTCCGAATCCGATTGAATTGATGAATAAATATTCACCGGTTTTTATCTGAGTGTATAAAACCCGGTGTTTGCGGGCTTTACATATAAGCTTATAATTAAGCTTACCAGAATCTTTCAAAAAACTATTTTCCTGTCTTAGCTCTTCAATCTGTATTTGTAACAGACCAATTGAAGTACCTGTGAAAGAAAGAAATGTACATCAATTTTTGACTGCTAACAGCAGAACCATTGATCATGAGATTAATTTAATACACTATCTCGACTTAAAAAACCATTAATAATTCATGAGGAAAATACAAAACTTTAATTATTCTTCTAAAACTTTCACCTCTGGTCATCATTAATTATATAATTCAATTCACTTTCAAACAGTGAACAGCGCGTGCGCGTGCATTTTAGTTTGAAATTAAGCTTGCGTAGAACGAACGTTAAATTAGTTTGTACATGTCAACATTCACAAAGTTGTAATAACCTGAAGACGGACAGTAAAACTGTCCGAAACGTTGTTAAAAATAAAGTAAACCTCTTGAAAAATCCTGTTTGAAAGTGAATTGAATTATATAATTGAAAATACAAAAGAAATTAATGTTTAATCAATGTTTGTAAATCGGATAAAGATTTGTCCTGATTTACATAAACTTCATCTTTGATTTTTCAACCTCGTACCCAGATCTTTCCTCTTGGGGAGAAAAAAACCCTGGTAGACGCTGGTCACGTGATCTGCTAAGTCAGATCAAGGTAGACGCTGGTCACGTGATCTCCAAGATAGTTAATTAGAAATCTGCTGGATTTTAGCAGATCACGTGACCAGCGTCTACCAGGGTTTTTTCTCCCAAAGAAGAAAGACACTGGGTACGAGGTTGTGATTTTCTCGGCTTAGACAATGTTTATTTTTAAAATAACTTCGCCAATGAACTCATAAGATGGGTTTTTTTTTAAGCACGTTAAAACATTTGCATCCGATCTTTATCTGATCATGGATAATAAAATAAATGGATAGGAAACTAGCTGACGTGACCTAATGTTTTTACTGGGATTGATGGCGTGGTTGAATGCCTCAACCTAGTTGAAAATCAAATTCTCAAAAACGGCATGTTTAGCAATAATACACCTAAACATTTTAGTCAAAGAGCAAATAAATGTAACCACGCCATTCTACGATGAAAACTCTAAGTATTCCCAGTCAATTTTAGCAAATATTTCAAGCACTAAACAGTGAAAAATACATCGCAAATTTCGTTAAAATTTGTGACGCCAATTTCGTAGCTACAAATGTAAAAAAATACAAAACAAAGACGAAAAACATTTACCTTAAATACTTTGTCGTGGCTTAGGCATGTTTTTAAAACAATTAGACCAGTTTACGCTTCAAGATCACCCTTTTAAAGTGGAAAATATAGCAAAACAACAAATATGCCGAGAACTTTGGTAACATTCGCAATACGCGTGACGTCACATTTTTCAACAAGGATGCAGTCAATGACGTCAGAAGTTTCCAATCCATTTATTTTATTATCCATGATCTGATATACAAACTCTCGCCTTCGGCTCAAGTTTGTATATCAGATAAAGATCGGCTGTTATTTTATTTTATTTTATTTTATTTTATTTTATTACACTTTGCCTCAACATGCAGGCTCGGAAACCGCAACAGCTACGGCCATTTACTGCGGATCCATTATGATACATCAAGTTTAATATCAACTAACAATAAATAGCGATTACAATTACCAACAAAACGTACAAACATATACAGACATTAACAATATTAAAGCTACGTTTACACACCGCGATCCACCGCGTACTGTACGATTCACCCTCTGGCGTATGTCATATGATAAACACGCGTAAGCTGGCTACATTTGTAATTTATGAATTATGGCACCAGCACTCATTTTAATACGCCAAAATACAAACCGCACACGACAAATCGCAGCGCGTAAACGTACCTTTTTATAAAGACATACAGACATTAAAAACAGCACATAGGAAGAGACAGAAGACTGCGGGCAGAGCCACACTTAACACAAATTGACTTCCATGTCCGTGCATCTTCAGAGTCATAAGTTGATTTTAAAGCACTCAGGCTGTATCGGAGATAGATTTTGGGTATTTTGCTGCTATAGCTGGATGCTTCGCAGATGTTCCATATATTAGATCTAAAATGTATAACATTTACACTCGAGAATTTCATCTACAAAACCCTTCAAGTTTTATTTAAATTTCAATCCGAAGTTGTATTCAAAGTTCATTCCAGTTTTATCATCAGATCAGTAAACAGGATATACCATAGTTCCGTTTATTACTTAATCTCTCCCGTTCCGCGCGGGAATTCACTGAAAGAGCTGTTTGTTGGGTTTTTTGGCGGGGGAGGGGAGGGGGGTGGAGAGCACCTGAGTTCGCACAAATAGTGTTTTGGCAAGTAAGTCATTCCTTAACATACCGGAGCTCGACGTATCGACATTTTTCGTATGCGATTCGTTTAATTTCTTCAGAGTTGTATTTTCTTCATTTAAAGATTGACTGAGAGTTTCCAAAGCTGACTTTTCTCGATCAAGAGTTTTAACTTGAAGATAAAGTTTGCGACACGCTTCTTTCGCCATCGTCGTTGACATTTGTTGTAATGTTGACGTCTGGGAGTTATCAACGCCTTGGTTATCTTGTACAGACGCAGGGATCTCGTTCTACAAAAGATGTAACTACTATTGTATTTCCCTTCGTATAAAGAAGGAAGAAAATAAGAGTATTAATTACAAGTCGAAAATGGAAATATAAGTTAACGTATCTTATAATTATGAGCTTTCCTTTCAATCATAGTGATGTAACATAGCGTTTGCTTGGGGCAGGTAAAAATCATGACGGGAAAGCAGAAGTTGCTAATTGCTACACAGAACTGTAAAGTAGTTGTGCAATAGAACTAGAATACATTCGATCATGCAATGATGCAAACCAAAAATCATTATATTGTCATTAGTGATTCCACAAATGACACCGTAAAATCCCATTCATTTCACAGATCCATTCCTGAAATTCGCCATACATTTGAGATCAGTGGGAGGTCCCAGGGCCGCCCAGAGGGGGGAAGGGTCCGGGTCCCAGCTGAAGGGGGCCCAAAAGATATGATAAAATAAAATATGCATAGAAACCACAGTTTTTCTCCCAGAATGCAGGAATTGCAATTCTAGGGACTGTAGATTTCAAACTTTCCTCGGGGAAGTATGCCGCAGACCTCGCTGAACTATTTAAGGACATGCAGAATACGCATTGAAAATGTAATATGGCCATGCAGAACCGAAGGTGATGATCTTGCTAATTGTCCTAAAAGTTCAAGAATATGGAATGCTATCGCTAAAAGAGCACATAACTTCAAGAATCTTTGACGATAGAAAATCACTAGGGTCCGAAATATTAATTCTGCCCCTGGCGCCCAATTTCCTCTGTGCCGTTATGGTAAGTCCACCCACGAAACATAGTGACGCGCCCGCGATTATTAATGAATTTAATGCTTTCCTCATAGACGGATTTTCTGGGGGTGCTACCCCCCAACTATTAGCTATAACCCCTCCCCAAACAAAACGTTCACCTCTCCAATGGTCCACTCCAACGTGCAGAGTGTTGATGATACAAAATAAATGCAGGAGTACACTCGGACAGAAAAAGACAGTGCAACACTCTGAAACTAATCGCTCCTCGCTTGCATTCACTGGTTTATTGGAGCAATTGTAAAGTTTTGAAACTCTATTATCTTCCCTGAATAGAGTTTGCAGTGCCTTGTCATGCGAATAGCTTGCACGCAAGGA